CGACATGTTGAAGAAAATGAACGTGGTCCCTGTTCTCAAGAAGCTTATAGCTCAGTAGAAGAGACAGATATCAAACAGGTCAATATGTAAAGTCAGATAGTGATCAATGCTATAATGGAAGAATAAGAGAAATACAAGACTGAGGATATTTAGGGGAGAAGGAAGGCAACTTTAGATACAGATATTTGAGCTGAGAACTAGAGGAAGAGAAGCTGTCCGTAGATCTTGAGGATCAGCCCTTTGGGAGGAATAAGCTGGTGCTGTAGTTCAGGGTAAGACCAGAGTAATAGGCACAGTAAATTGTCAGAGTCAAAGAAAGGCCCCCAATAAGAAGACTGAATAATCATGAGAAGAAGATGGGGACACTTTGGCATGGGGCAATAGGGAGAACCACAGGTAAACTAGTGTTTGGTATTAGGGTAAGGCCAGAGTAATAGATATGACTAATGATTTTGAAAGACAACCTAGAAGTCCAAGCTATTGTGAGCAGATTGCAGGGATGCCCTGGGCATGGGGGCAATAAGGACACTCAGATATTTATCATCCAAATGGGGGCATCATGAGAGTGAAAGGGACAATGCTGATAATTACTCCAGGACAACCGATATAACTGGGTTCCATTTTGAGGTCGGAAAACTAGAACAGGGTGAATGGTCATCTGACCCTGGGGGGCAATGGCTACTTGGTTTATTTGGCCAAAGACTCTTGAGCTCAGAATTGACACTGAGCCAGTTTCGAGTTAGCCACCTGATCCTGGGTCGTGAGCAACTTCATTCCCAGGGAATAAAGGGATAGGAAGGAATAGGATGGAGAAAATTGTTAGGTGCTTGGTTTTGTTAGAGCTGCAGCTGATCTAAGCTGATGGGAGTACAGGAGCTGTGGCAGATTCTACTGCCAGGGACCAAACGAGGGAGAATAAAGGAAATTATAAACCGAGCACCTACTAAGTGTCAGGCAAGTGTTTTCTCACTAAATTCTCACAACAGACCCTTTCTTATGGGTACAGCTTATATCCTAGTTTACTGATGATAAAAATGACTCACAGAAGTTAAATAATGTACCAGTTAGAAAATAGCAGAGGTAGGATTCAAATGCAGACTTATTGGGCTTCCAAAGTTGTGCTTATCTCTATACCAAATTGTCTTTATTTATTTATTTATTTATTTTGGGGGGGGAGGTTTTTTTGCTATAGGGCACGTGCGCTCGCCAGACAGAGAGAGACAGAGAGACAGAAAGCAAGAAATCACCCCCCAGGGGGGATGGCCATGCCACAATCCCTTCTCCTCCGTTCTCCCCCTGGGATGTTGGGCACGCACGCACACGTGCCTGGCGTGAGTTTTAAGCCACCAGGTCCAGGACGCGAACCACGGTCGACTATGTGGGAGTCCAGCGACATAGCCATTACGCTAACTGCTGGTCCCCCAAATTGTCTTTAGACAGAGGTAGGGGAACAAAAGCACAGACCGACACAGGTAGAGATACATTCTGACATGTACGGAGAAGCATACTCACATGTCGACACTCACTGAGCCAGAGAGAACCAGACACTCCTGCTATGTAGATAAGGTGCTGTGATCAAGAAAGCTAGCTGTCTCCCAATGTCTGTTCTCTCCTTTCTGCTATAGGAGAATACCCTGTTTTAGCTGAGCCCACACCATACAAATTAAATACTACATTTCCCACCTTCCTGTGCATCTTAGTGAGACCAAGTCACTAAGTTCCACCACAAGGATGTGAATGAAAGTGGTTTCACTACCTTTAAACCACCCGCGGAGGCATCGTTCACAGCATGAGAAATCTGTGAGTGGAAATGACTTTGAAAACTTAAGTGGAAGAAGCATGTTCTTACCATGCTTCCTTTTTGTTTCTTACTGACCAAATGTAGGAACAGACAATGACTAGACTACGTGGGAATAGAGCTCAACCCACAAATTCTGCAGCAACCAGCCTGAGAAGCCAAACCACAACTTCTGCAGCTGCTGTTCCAGAACAGTCAGGCCTTGATCAGTAACTGCCAACGTCCCTATGTTTTGTTCCTACATCCAACTTAGGCCCAGCTAGAGAAAGTAAAATATGCCCCAAACCACTCACAAAATAGGTCCTACTACTAATTAGCCTGCTTCCAGCTTCCTCATGCCAACAGCCTATTATCAGGGTACACCTGAAGTCTTCCCTTTCTTCCACTATAAAGCCTTCCTGCTCCCCCGTCTATCTTTGAGTCTCTGCCAAATGCAAGACTCCTTGCTCTAGCAAGCTCTGAATCAACAGTCTCTGTTCATTCTCTTTTGCTGGTCTTCATTTATTTCTATACTCCCTTCCTGTTGAGTGGAATGCAGATATGGGATGAGACATCTTTACTCATGAGCACTAGGATGCAAAGATCCCAAGTTTCTGATATCCTGGAGCTGCCATACCATCTGGGTTGGTAGTGAGAGAAAAATACACTTTGGTGTTTTAAAACACTACCATTTTGGATTTCTGTGTCAGTAGCCTAGCCAAACACACACACACACACACACACACACATACACTCACACTCAATCTCAGGAGTCTTTTTAGTCTCAGACTGAATAGTCAAACGTCATCTATTTAAACCATACTAATTTGGAATTTGTGCAAGTTTGCCATGGGGCAACCTGGGTGAAAGAGTATATTTGCACTGAATTAAAAATCAGAGTTTGTTGAGCAGATCCATGTACTCAAAGTTTCACTCATTTAGACTACGAGTTTTGAGATACTTCAGAATCGTTTATTTGCATACCATGATTGATGTGCTCATTACAATGGACTCATACCTGTTCATTAATACTTGGAGGTTACTTAATCCGGGCAATCTGAGAATGCTTGTAATGCAAAGGAATAAAGTTGCATTGATACACACGAAACTCAGACTCTTCTTTAAATTTTTTTTTTTTAGAGGTTTTTGCTATAGGGCACGTGTGCTCACCAGAAAGGCAGAGAGGGAGAGAGACAGAAAGTGAGAAATCACCCCCAGGGAGGGGGAGGGGGATGGCCACACTGTAATTCCTTCTCCTCCATTCTTCTCTCGGGATCTTGGGCATGCACCCACACACCCGGCGTGAGTTTAAGCCACCAGGTCTGGGACTTGAACCACGGTCGACTACATGGGAGTCCAGGGACATAGCCATTACGCCAACTGCTGTTCCCTTTTCTTTAATTCTTACCGGACTTTTTCTAATTCGAATAAACAAGCAGAACTCACCAACTCTTTCCTGCATGTTTCTTTAATGTCCCAGTGTAATTCAGTCTCCTTTTGGATACAGCTTTGGCTACCCTGTGACCCAAGATCACAGACACCAGATACGCTGGGATGAGGAATGTATAAGGGCCATTTATTAATATCTGCCCTCACACCATCCTTCTCTAGTCACCACAGGTTCAGGCCCCAGCTTCTAGGCCGAAGCAGCTCTCAGTCCTCTCCATGTCAGTTCTCCATACCCACAGAGAAGGTACAGGGGGCAGACGTATGACTTCTCGGTACCATGTATCCAATGATTTGATGTCCTGGAAAATTAAAGGCAGGGGAATGAACCAAGACACAGAACTAACGTCTTAGACTTTGTGTCTTCCATCCTTGTAAGCCAGAACCAGATGTTCAGGAATTTGTGATGGCTGATGGAGCGCAGAAAGGTGAGGAGGTCCCTGGATATTCGGCAATCCTTCCTAGCCTCCTGTGGGTACCGCAGAGCTATCTGGGAAGAATGCCCCAGAAATACAAGACCATGGGACATCCTTCATGCTCCCAGATCTGAACATCCATCCACCCATGCATACGTTCACCCAGCAAACATTTTCTGTATCTCTACTACAAGGGAGCAAGACAGTTGTGGCCCTTGAAGAATTCATGGTCTATGGTAGCGGCAGATTTACAGAAATAATTATAATCTAGTGTGATAAAAAGTGTACTTGGGTTATGTACAAACTATCAAGTGAACATGAAAGAGTGACCAGATAACTCAGCTTGGCCAGAAAAGGCTTCATAAATATTGAGCAATCAACACGCAAGTAAAGTCTTACTGAGAGCACGGGTTTCCATCAGCAGGAGATGTGGGGATTCCAGACAAAGAAAATGGCATGGTCAGAGTCAGCAGATGGCATAGTGGTTACGTCACTGGACTCCAATATGGCCAACCACAGTTTAAGTCCTGGATCCAGCAACTTGAAAATCACACCAGGTACTTGTGTGTGCATGCCCAAAATTTCAGTTGGAGAACGAAGGACAAGGGATTAAGACATGGCCATTCCTCCTGGGAGGGTTGATTTCTCACTTTCCTGTTCACTGTCTCTGTCTCTCTCCAGCAAGTGCATACACCCTAAGACAGAAAACCTTTTAAAAAAAGAAAGAAAATGACATGGTCAAAAACACAGAGAAAGAAAAAGATCAGGAAAAGGCACACAGTTCTGTGAGGTTAGAACAGAGGATGAGGAAGCTGAAACGTAAGTTGAGATCATTGTGAGTGCCATGTTGCAGGATTCCATTATTAGTTATATGTACAAGACAAAGCTTGGAGCTCAGGCGCCTATCAGAGCTCCAAATGATGCAGGTCAGTGAGGGGTGCCAGGTCAGAGTGAAAAGTTGGGGAGTCCCATCCAAAGGCAGCAGCCAATTGTTGCCGAGCTGGAGTACAGGCTCAGTGTAGCCAAATTTCCATTTTATTTTTTTTTTTAAATAAGAGGCTGGGTATCCACATTTTTATATGAATAATCCCAATTTTTAATGGTTGGAAGTTATTTAAACACATCATTCTGCCAAATAAAAATATATCTGATGTTCCATCATCCATCAGACTTTTCCGTTTGGGAATTATAACCTCAAATTTCTAAGCAGAGAATTGACAGAGTCAGACTCATATTTCAGAAAGAGATGTCTCCACAGATCTCCACCCGCCTTTTCTGCCCCAGCCTCTGCCAGAAAGAACCTCTTTTCCCCATCTGTATGCCTTCTGCTTCTCCCCCACACAATCTTTGTAGGCCTCATTACCCTCCCAGACCATCACCAGCACCAGCTGCCATCTTGCACCGGGAATTGTTGAATGAATGAACCATGCTGCAGATTTGGCTTACAGAGAAAAGCTCGGCATTAAGGACACAAGAGAGCCATATTTATTTCACATGGACAAGCATGATTCCGTCGCATGCTGACATGAAAGCTCACATGAGCAAAGTACCCGTAACAGCAGAATTATGTGCTTTTGTCCACAGGGAGCAGGGAGAGTTCACAAAGTGGGTTTCAAAGACAGTATCCTTCAAGCACAATTGAGACCACAGCTCTGAAATCACTGGTTTATTTCACCATCAAAGGGTCTTCGAGGAATGGCCAAGGGGGTGCTTCTCACTTGGCAATCTCTCAGTGAGCTGCTAAGGTCTGAAGAGGACAGAGGATGGTCTCCCATCCCACCATCCAGGGCGGCTCAGGGAAATTAAGCTCAGAGGGAAGGTACATGCCACTTGGAATGAACAAGCCCACTCCGGGGGGACAGTGACAGGGACAGACTGCTGTGTTTATAGCAACGGAACCATCGCCACTTCTAATACTATCATCATGGGAAAATTCACTCTTCTTAAAGCCATTCCTCGTGGCCTCTTAGGGGAAGAAGGGAGAATGATTTGGGATCTTTGTCTGGACAGACTGGAGATAGCTAGTGACAGGGACCCTCTACTCCCTTGGCCTTAGCTGGGCTTCCTGGTTCCAAGATGATGACACCATGGTGGAAAAGGGGGCTGGAGCCTAGGTGTGTTTGGGCGAGGGATCAGAGGCTCTGGGAGCAAACCTTGTGGAAGAGGTGAGCAGACGAGCCCTTGCATCTGGATGGGTTACTCCCACCTGAAGTCCTGCCCCACCGTTTCATAAAATTTAATATTATAGGGTCTATAAAATTCCCGGAGCTGGTCTATCACTTCAGGATCAATCTGTACATGAGTTCTCCCTTTTGATTTGCCCAGACATCGAGGCAGGAGGCTTGATTCCGTTTTTTTCAAGCAAGGGAATCCTTTGGTCTTATTGAAGTAGAAGTGCTTGTCTGTGATAAATCTCTTAATGCCCAGGAAGTCCTGGACCCGCCCCATCTCGCCAGCTGGGTCGGTGATGAGCCGCTCACCGCTGACAAAGTGGATCTGAGCCAGCGGGAAGTACTGCAGCCAGCTCTCCAGGTGTAGCGCGTACATGCCGATGCGGATGGCGTTCCACGACACGTCCACCAGGCCCAGGGTGCGGTTGCGGAAGGAGAGGCCCTCGAAGGTGGGGATGTCGGGCTTCTTTGAGAGTGTCTGTGTATAATCCGAGATGGCGCGGGTCACCGGGTTCCGCACGACCACGATCAGCTTGGTGTCTCGAGACATGTTGAAGATCCGTCGAGGTGCCTCTTGAGTGACGAAGTAGCTGGGTGTCTTCTCCAGCGTGATCTGGGTCTCCAAGGTCCTGGGCATCAGGCTCCTGGGGGCAGGGGAGCAGAAGCAATATGTCATCAGACAAGATTCCCCTGGGGTGCCAGAACCCAGGCACAGGGACATCAGCCCCCTCTACCCAGTGACCTGTTGATTCCCTCCCCCACCCCTTCTCCTTCACATTTGAGACTTTCACCTGGTGAGAAGTCCACTTTAACGCTGGTTAAATTTTAAAAATCTTTTTTCTTTTTGGAGAAGGTTATTTTATTTTATTTTATTTTATTTTTATTTTTTGTGATAGGGCGCGTGCGCTCCCCAGACAGACAAAGAGAGACAGAGAGACAGAAAGTGAGAAATCACCCCCCAGGGGGGATGGCCATGCCGCAACCCCTTCTCCTCCATTCTCCTCTCGGGATCTTGGGCACGCACACACACGCGCCCGGCATGAGTTTTAAGCGCCTGGGTCTGGGACACGACCTGCGGTCGACTATATGGGAGTCCAGTGACATAGCCATTATGCTAACTGCTGGTCCAAATTTTAAAAATCTTTAACAGGTTTTCTTTAAGACTGAAACAACCTAAACATCCATAGGTAGGGTTAAATAGACTGTGGAATAGCCAAGTAGTAGAGTTACGTAGATTTGTATGTATTAATATGGAATGAATCCCAACATCATTGTTCCAATGATACAGGTAATTTATAATGGATGTGTATCTCCAGGAAGATATATATGAAATGGGTAAAAAGAGTTGCTTCTAGGCAGGTAACATGAGGTGGTGTAGAACTAAGAGATCAGGGATCAATGAGAAGTACTTTTTATTACATAATTTTTTATACTGCTTGAAAAGTTTAATGTGTTTCCTACACATTAAAAAAATACAAAATGAACTACTGAATATTGTTCTAGTAAAAGGTATTTTCCAAATATATTAAGAAAAACAATTTTTTATGGGGGAGACTTGTTCTGCAGGAATAGAAATGTTTTATAAATGGGTTCTGATGTCTTCTCCTGCCTAAACAAACAAACAAACAAACAAACAAAAAAACCATCTGAAATACATCCTTTGTGTAAACTTGAAGAAGCACAAAACTAGAGGCTGGTTGGGACCTCCATCAGAGGCTAGGTAATACAATTCCTCTCTCCCTGTTTTTAAAATTTCCCAGCTCTGCTTGAGACTTAAAAGATGATGGCTGAAGGCTATGAAGTCTCTTTCTTAGGTGTGTCTCTTTCTGGCCCTGACAGGAGAAGCACTCTCCTAGTCTTAACTGCTACTTCTTTCTGAAGGTCAAGTTCTACCCTTCATCTAGTTTTTCGTTCGTTTATTTTTGTTGTAGGATGCATACATTCACCAGAGACAGAGAGAGAGAAAATGAGAAATCACTACCCTCCCCACAGCCATACCGCAATCCCTTCTTCTCTACTCTCCTCTCAAGAGTTTAAGCACACATGTACGTGGCAGGTTTTTCAAACCACTGGGTCTGGGACTCAAATGGCACAGTCAGTCATGTGGGATCTAGCTGCCTTAACTACCACCCCACCTGATTGGCCTTAAATCAGTATTTATTGATCCTGGCTAAACAGTAGAACTAACTGAGGCAGTTTTTTGCTTCATTTTTAAAAAATACAGATGTCTGAGCCCTGTCCTAGACCAACTGCTTCACGATATTTAGAGTGGGTACTTTTTAAAAGCACCTCAGATTATTCGAATGTGAGGGCAGAGTTGAGAAACACCTTTCCCCAATTAGTCTCTCTCCAGTTCTAACACTATGATTTACCAACCTCCATGAAATTCCTCCTCACATCCTTTTTTAAAAATCTTTTTTAGGAATTATTTTATTTAACTTTATTTATTTATTTTAATTTGACCAGAGAAGGACAGAACAAGAGTGAGAGTGAGAGAGAGAGAGAAGGTGAGAAAGCAAGCCACCAGGTCTGGGACTCAAACTGTGGTTGGTCATGTGGGAGTCCAGTGCCCTGAACCACCATGCCACCTGTTGGCCCCGTTCCTCATTCTTTTGCAATACAGACAACTAGTTCCCAGTCTTCTGCTTCCCGGCTCGTATCATCATCTCCATTCAATAACCTGGCCTCCCAGTTCTTTCACTTTCACTATTTCATTTTCCCTTCACCAATTCTTCCTCATGGGCATATTTTTAGTCTTGTCAATGAAATTGTTCCTAACCTATAATGGTTAATCCTGAAATTTCACTCTAGGACTATGTAGTGGGCTGAATGATGATGCCCTAAAATATATGTCTACCCAGAACCTATGAATGTGTCCTTATTTGAGAAATAAAAAAGGTCTTTACAGATGTAATTAAGTTAAGGTCCTGGAGATAAGATCATCCTGGGTTAAGGTGGACCTTAAGCCCAATGATGAATGTTCTTATAAGAAAGGGAAGGGCAGAAAACAGACAGAGGGAATAAGGTGAATGAAGAATGAAGATGAAGGCAGAGCATGGGGCAATGTATCTGTAGGCTAAGAACACCAAGAGTTGACACCAGTCACCACTACACGCCAGGAGACAGGCATGGAAGACAGCCATCTTTCTTAGAGTATCCAGAAGAAATCACCCCTGCTAACAATTTCCTTCTGGGCTTCTAGCTTCTGACTGTGAAAGAATAAACTTCTGTTGTTTTAAGTTACGCAGTTGGCTATAATTTGTTGTGGCAGACATAGGAAAGTATAGATTACAATACAGTATCTTTCTCTCTTTACCACAGTCTCAAACTCATTATATCTATCTTCAAATTCATCTGTGATCCTCTTGAGTTCTCTTTCTTCCATACCTTCCTTGGACTCGATGAATAATGTCAATAGCATCATCATCAATCTGCTTGTATTGCTTGCTCTCCTGGTCTCTAATAACGCATTAGTCCAACCTTTCATCCTTTCTAACTCTATTCCTGGGCTGCCAGACAGCAGTGGAGAAAATTGCTAACCCTTACAAGTGGACCCTTTATATGTATATTAATTCTAGTTTTAGTTGAACCCTCAGCACTGTTCAATAATCTTCTATTTGTCTTCATATTCCCCCATCATTCTTAAGTAAATGTTCCAAATTCTCATCATGCACTTCCAACCCTACTCCTGCCACCTTGTCTTAACACACTAGTTTCTTAGTACACTAGAAAGCTGGCACACTCAACTCTCCCAACCTCATTCTCCTTCATTGTGAAAGCAACCGTTATCTGTATTCATCTAAGACCATCCTACTGGTCTCAAAGAACAAGAGCCCACTAATGGACACAAGCTCACCTGTCCATCTGTGCTCTAAGCTCCCTTCCCTCTTGATACATTAGCCCCTGAACCTTAAAATTCTCTGTGCAGTTAGTGTAATGGCTATGTCTCTGGACTCCCACATAGTCGACCACAGTTCGCGTCCCGGACCCGGTGGCTTAAAACTCACGTCAGGTGCGTGTACGTGCGTGCCCAAGATCCCAAGAGGAGAATGGAGGAGAAGGGATTGCGATGTGGCCATCCCCCACAACCCCCCGGGGGTGATTTCTCGCTTTCTGTCTCTCTGTTTCTCTCTGTCTGTCTGGCAAGCACACGCACCCTATAGCAAAAACCTCTCAAAAAAAAAAAATTCTCTGTGCAACTGGGCTGACACAACTGATATTTTGCTTCCAAGCCCAAGGTCTATATGGATCCTTGTGAATTGAAAATTTTAATAGTATTTGTTAGTTTTGAGTAGGTCAATTTAAAAAAAAATGATAAAATTTTGAGCAATCACAAGTGCACTTAAATAGAAGTATTTGGCAGGACTTTTATCATATTATAAAGTTGGCACACATTGTAATTATATGTTGGCCTTTATGATGAGAATAAATAAAATAACATAAATGAGATAGTGCATTTAAACTCGGTGTAAGAACTTTCCAAACTCTATGGGGGTTATTGATGTAAAGGTCTTCCCCAACACAAAGAAGCTGACTTGATGAGCTATTAAACAGATTTCTTCGCAATATCCTTTAATACACTAGAGGACAGTGAAGAGAAGTGAGGGTGCAACATTTTTCAGGCTTATTTGACTGTTGAGCTATGGATTTTTGCCAGTGGTACCAATTAATATCTTGTTTTGTTACCAGTTTGGAAAATTTTGATCAGTTCCAGTAATCTCCAGAGTATCACATCATTCCCCACCTGTGCACTCAAGTGAAGCTCCCCCCTTTTAACACCTAATTAGTCTATCACTTGCAAACCCAATGACCAATACTAAGAAAGACCTAAGAACCACTGTAAACAACACCACTGTAGTTATGCCATGAGTTGAAGGGCTCTGTGTACTTCAGATTTTCTCTCTCTCACTAAAGAACATGCTGGCATATTTATTTCTCCTCCAGCCACTGGAATAGAGAAACGGAGGCCTGTGGGATGATAATATACAGGGAGATCGTATATACATCTCCAAGCCCTGTGCACGTTGTGGGTGAGCATCAGACTTTGCCTTGAGGCCCATATTTCCTCCTTATGTCACTGTTTAAAATTTGCTTACTTGTTTCCAGCTGTAAACCAACAGCTGATCTTTTCTCTCACCTTGTAACCCTCCTAAGCTTCTGCCTCCTTTTTTTTTTTTTCTATGTTGTTCTGCAAAATTACTGAGAGAATCATCTAACACTCACTGTTTGGACTTACCCTCCATCTGTTATTAACTTGCTCAGCAAGTGAAGGCCCCGAGATTTTCCACTGAGGAACTGCCACTCCTACTTTCGACAAAAGCTTAGTGGGCCAAGGGTTGGGTACATAATCAAACTTAGAGCCAATAAGTGCCCATCGTGCTGTAAAGACTAAAAATGTATCATAAAGACAGAGCACTTCCAACCAGACACAGAAAGCTAGAAGAGATCCCTATAAGTTTCTGTTACCAAATCACCATGGCTCTCTGGATTCTTGCACTTTTCTGAAACCTGTGAGTTATTGCATACCCTTTCGAAAAAAGTATTACTACATTAAGTTAGTCAGTTGATTTCTGTTGTTTACAACCCAAGAATGCTAACCTATCTTTTACAATCTGGCTTCTCCTTTATTCTGGAAGCTACACTC